ATATATAANAGTACATGATATGTATATAAATCATATTATCACAAACTCGTTTCTATTTATTTCATTTGAGCAGAGGTGTTAAGTAACTAACTAGATTTACTCAAGTAATTTTGATCAAAATACACAATGCTTATCTGTTTATTAGTCTTATGTGTTCTATGTCCTATTATATATATATTCATGTTGCACTGTTGGAGGAGCCTGTGACTTCAGTATTTCATTGCCTTATCTACACTGTAGCTACTGTGCACATGACAATAAAGCATTGAATCTTGAATTGAATGAATCTTGAAAATGCTAAAGTAATAAGCAATGCTCAATTCAAAGTAATTACCTTTAATTGATCTGACCTTAATATAGCATACTGTGTTATGGCTAAGCAGCTGTGCAAATAGACAACATCATTTAGTGCATAACCGTTTTTTGCTACTTTAAAATATAGCGTATTCTCCTTTCTGTGTCTTTGTATTTACACCAAAGCTAATTCCTCGTATGTGTAAACCCACTTTGTAATTAAACCGACTCTGATAACTAAATGCAGTGCAAAAGTGAAAGACTTCATATATAGGGTTTATTTGACACTTTAAGGCACATCCATTTGTATTTCTGTTAATAGAAAACATGTTGTATTGACTTAAGATTTGGTTGAACTTTGCTCCAGGATATCCGTAAGGTGGTCCAGATGCTGGAGCAGACTGCCAGAGAAATACTTACAGTTCTCCAAAGCGTGCACCAACCGTCTGGATTCAAAGAAAGTAAGCATCCTTTTTTCACAATGTTTTCACTGGAACTCGATGCGTCTCATTGACTTGTGTTAGAAAAATATCACTCGTCACCGGCTTGAGCTTCAATCTCAGGATCCATGTATCTGTGATCCTCTCCAGAATGGAAGTAGTCATCACATACAGAGCATCAACTAGTTCCTGAACAGTGTCCTTCACATGCTGATATCCAAGAGAGGGAGTTCCACAGTCACAAGATGGAGGAATAGAAAGCAGTATTCAAAACATTGAATACTGCTTTCTATTCCTCCATCTTGTGACTGTGGAACTCCCTCTCTTGGATATCAGCATGTGAAGGACACTGTTCAGGAACTAGTTGATGCTCTGNTCCTTTAAGGCAACATATCTTGATAGCTGATTAGTTTCCGATTTTAGCAGTAATACATAATGTTGAGTATGTTCGTTCTATAATGTTGAGGATATTCATTCTATGTATCGAAAAAGGAAAAAACACAATTATGTGTTATGATATGATGAAGTCGTGTTTGTGCGGGTGGGCAACATAATCTTTGTAAGGGTTTTTTCAACAGTTTGAATATAAAGTAATACAGGGAAAAGCCTTCAGTCTGTTTCAGGGGAAGAGGGGTTTGAGGTATGCTCCTTGAGTTTTATCTGTGTGTTTTGAGAGGACCACAGCCAAAAGTGGTTAGGTTTCAGTCAGAATTTGGGACTTCAGCCTCCGAATATAAGTATATTGGCGAGGTGCTTATACTTTAGATTTGAATAGGTGTGGCGAGCCAAGGACACCTGCTCCACCCATCTCCTCTTTAGATTCATTATATTCAAGCTATACCCATACCCATGTTTGGCTTTTGATAATGTCGCGTTCTATCTTTACTCCATTTTACGAGGTGTTCTTTCTTTTCCTAAGTTGTTTTGTTTATTTCATTCTTTCTAATGTTGGATTATTTACTACTTTTTACTTTATTCTGTTCTTCTCCCGCTGTTTCCGTTCCTCCTTTTTTGCTCTCAGGCAGCCTCGGTCTTTGTTGTGCAGTGTGGTGGAGGGGGGAGAGGAGGGCTTCTTGTGCTTTCTGTGTGTCACACCGTGGGTCTGATGTTATATTTACAAGCCTGCCATGATATCCTCTTTTAGGTTTATATTGTAGCCTTAATTAGGGTCGCCTTTGGATTAGGGGCAAATGATGACAGAAGCTAGGACCTGCTGCTCCCCACCTGCTGTTTTAGCAGTAATGTCTCTGGTTAATATGTGGCCTTGCGCAGCATCTTCAGCGCCACCTAGAAGCTTGTGTGTATTGATGTGTGTGGTTGTGTGTGTGTGTTGCTGTGAACTATGATATCAGTTGTGTGTGTGTCTTGATGTTGTGTTGTAACGTGTGATGTAGAGAGAAATGTTCTTAACGTGCTTTGATCTGTTGGTGGAGGGAATGTCTATATATATGTGGGCTGTCTGATCCTTGAGTGCAGCGCAAATGAAGCATGGTATGCCTACATGTGGTGTTCTCGAGGTTGAGCTATGAAATATAGCGATCAGGTTGGCCGGCACGCGCTTTGAACATTTTAGAGCACAGAGGAAAGCTATATTTTTCTCTCATAGATACACTTTCTGCTCGCTCGTGCGCAAGCTAGAACCGCTGCACGCGCTCTTCTCTCTCCTTTTCCTCAGCTCTTTATGGCTCGACTCTCTACAGCCACCTGTGCGCGCGCTTCTGAGCTTTTGCTGCTGTATGTCTGCTCGGCTTCATTTGTTTGGCACGAGGCTTGTTACGATGAATGTGAACAATACGGTAGTTTACGCGACCAATCGGATAGGATGCTCGATGGAAGGTCATCTAACCCTTTCTCCTGATTGTCCTGCTCTCTCGCGACCATGTCAAGAGAGCCTAAGATGTATGCGACCCGGCGCCTGAAGTCCGAATCCAGAATGCTTGCATTGTCAGTTCCGTTGTGTTAGACATAAGTTTCATGGGCTCAGTAAGTTCCCCGGTATTAGTGTTGCTGTGGCGGGCTTTTCCAGATAGTTATCTCCTGCTGATTGTGCTCTCTATGTCTCAGTGGGGAATCGCGGACTGTTGTCTCCTTTCTATGAGCGATGTAGCATCCCAAGTAACAGGCAGGTTAAGAAATGCATTTGCATCACGTTTGAATGATTCATGGTTCGGTAGGCAATGGTTGGTCAATAGTATTAGTTTGTTGTTCGATTTACAATTATGCTATACAATTAACATATCGGATAGTGGGTACTGTAGTTACTTTGCCAATGTGTTGTTTTTTTTTTAGGGTAAAATGTGCTAATATTTGAGGGATTAAGAACAAAAGAAGTACTTTATTGATACCAATTGGAAATGTTAACGCGGCAGCAGCAAAAGACAAGGGCATGTGTACTTCTATTAGACAGTTAAAAGATCTAGAATCTATAACATCATCATGAAAATGTGAACATCTTTAAATATGATAATAACATGGGACATTCCAAAAAGTATAAAGAATATACTTATGGACTTATGGTGTGAAGTAAGGCTATCTTTTACCTGTTAAACATACATGTATTGGGCTAACGTTGAACCTTGGTTTACAGGGCCTGTTGCTGTGTGTTTTATTGCTTTTAATTCTTTTAAACAAATATTATCTTCTTAAAACTTGTATGAGTCAAGAACATCACATCCTTATTGATATATTTAGAGGGAGGGAAGGAAGGTTTCAAAATTCTGATTAATAATTCATTCTACCATTTCTTTAATTCATGGTGGTTTCCGAGTAATCCTTCTGTAATTGAGGACATAAGTCATCTAATGGACTAATGTAATCTTTATGACTTTCAGAAAGGACAGGAGACCGACAGGTGCCTATCAATGATTGTCAACTGACAGCACAATGAGTCAAAGCACTAGCCAGCAGCAGCAGCATGATGATGTTAAATGTGTTGTTTTAGGAACATCCATTGTAAATAAATGGAATTCAATAAACATTCAATAGCATGCGTGCAGTTTGTCTGTGCCTTTTCCTCTGTGTTTGTCCTGGCATATAGTCTCCCCCATGGTTTGCTGTGGCTCTGGGATGCTCCAATCACTCATAGAAAGGAGTACACATGTACGGCTTCCCCCACTGCACACAGAGAGGAGGAAAGAATGGCTGGCTCAAGTCAGCAGGAGCCTTTTAACTATCACAAAAGACAACAACATCAACAAAATATGTGAGGTATATTTTTTCACAAAACGAAGACCACACCATTGGGAAGCTTAATGTCTTTTAATCAAAATAAGGAACAGGGAGAGGCTTGCAAAACTCTGGAGTTGAGACTCAGGCTCAGGGTGAGGGTCTCATTGCAGGTCTTCAGGCTCCATTGAATCCCCCTGGGGTTCTTGTGCTGAGAGAGGGAGACAAAGACAGGAGAAAGGGTTAGATACATCCGCAACCTATAGGAATGGGAAATGGCTGACCTATTTTAAACTTACCTTGTATTTTCACTCTAACTTAAGTCCCTCTCCCTTTGCCATCAATCCAAAATCAGCTGAGCTGCAACATAATACAGAAAGGTAATAATCAACAGAATCACAAGGACATAATATGACTCTGCTAAAAACACTCACCCATAAATTACGTTTTTGTTTACTTGTCTCAAATATCCACTCTAAATCCATATCAATAGCAATGTATCACAAAAATAGCTCTCTTCCTTATTAGTGTGCAACGTTAACTATATTATGCTAGCTTGAACTCCAAAATGGATATCCTCATTTCACCACCTCCACCCACTACAATCACACGCCCCAATGTTATATTTAACTCCCTCCACCCCGGATAAAAGCACGTTAAGAAGCCCTTTCTCTCTAATTCCACAACGTTGGACGGAATAAACATTAAGAGAACGGATTAATAGGCTGTTCATGGTTAACGTGTGTTGCTAACTTTATCCGGTCCTAGCCTAATCTGTTTAGTTGTCCGGTTGAAAATTAACGCAAGATCTATGCCCATTGTAGAACAGGAAACAGAAGTTGGTCCAGGTTCTGGTCAACCCAAAATTGTGATAGAGAGAGAAACATGTTTGTCATTCTGCCACCTCTAATGCTTACAGCAAGTAATCAATACCTCAGAAGGGTTCATGGCGTACATGTAGGCTACGGTTTGATAGCTGTTTGCTTAAACTACCCCTATAGCTATGTTGCCGGCTAGCAAACTCAGGCATTGCAAACAATAACGTGATATCAGAAAACTAGAAATGTATAACTCACCTGACACTGTGGTGTGCTATTCTCTTCATTCGAGTCTGTCATGTCCTGTAATGTCAACGACGGATGTGTAATAAGAACGTCAACAGCCTGATGGCAACCGAAAATCCCTCTCTCATCTCAGATAGAAGATATGATTGGAGACGACCAGCCAATCACAATTGACCTTCTCGAGTTCTCCGATTGGTTGGTTTTGTGGCACATTTGTAACGCTGTGACAACTTGAGCGAGCACAGGCAAAGCTGAGCGCCCACAGGGTGGAGAGGTCGAGCGAGCGGGGGAGAGAGAGCGCGTGCAGCGGTCTGCTTGCGCACGGAGCAGGAGTTTTATGAAAGAAAATATATTTCTCTGTGCTCAAAAATGTTCAAGTGTGCGCTCAATCGCATTTTCTATGCTCAACATGTTTCATTGCGTGCTCAGGATAGAGGCACAAATATAACGCCATACACATGTAGGCTATCAACAACAGCCTGCCCTGGCCTCAGACCACCACAGCCTGACAACGGTAAAGCGAACTAATCACACAATCACTTTTCAGAATTAATCAAGATTTCAAGATGATTAGATTATTAGAATTAGCAGTGTTATTTTGACCGGCTCTTAGAGTTCCAGCTGTTTGGTCAAACAGACTGAATGACTGACCGCATTAAATACAAAATAAAAAAGCAAGGCAGATGAGGCAATTGTATTTATATATCACACTTCAACACAAGGCAATTCAAAGTGCTTTACAACAAATAAAAGTAAAACATTAAAGCATTAAGATATATTGCAACAGAAACACATTACATAAAAAAACTGTAAATATATCAATGCTAAGATAAAGAGTAATGTAGATATAGAATACAAAACACAAAATAATGAATACATTTGAATGTTTTTATTCTTAAAGTGCACCTATCATGCATTTTTTTAGGCATATATTATGGATCTCAGATATACAAAAAATATATAAAAACATGTCTATGATGTGTTTTTCTCAAAATACAAACAGATCATGCATTTTAGACATCCTTCATATCCCTCTATTCCAGCCCTCTTTAGAGAAACGCGGATTTTGGGTCCTTAGCTTGAAAAAGAAAAAGAGGAGGCGGAGCTATTGCCTGATCAGAATTCTACCGGAGATAAAGTTAAATTCTGCTGTGATAAAACGCCATCATGTTCTAAACCACATCAAGGATTATTTCTGAAACAGTATGGAGCTCAAATTATTTTTGAGCAATAACTATATTATTCTCTTGCGGGTTTATCACAAGGTGATTTCCTTTTTGTATTTCCTGCTTTTTAAACACATGTGCTCTCCAGTACATGTTAGTTCTGAGTGTTAGCGATGCTTGCTAATGTAAACAAAGACGAGATTAGTCCAAAACACGTCAGGCATTGTTTCTGATAGCAACTCTCTGTGGGTCTACCATCCAAAATTACGTAATATCGGCAGCAAATCTATATCCGCTCGTTGTACCCCTGTTTTAAAAGATGTGGGTACGGAAGAGAAAGGGTTTTATTTTCTGATGCTGCGTGAGTTCCCCGACACACCGGGGACACATATTTATGTATTAAAGACATCAAAAAGTGAATTTTGCATGATAGGTCCCCTTTAAAATAAATCTGCTACAACAAAAACTAAAAACACAAGTTAACATATTGTCGAAGACTCTTTTAACAACTGATGACTGTAAATTGAGATTCTATCGAGCTAGCAGAGGTGAAATACTGCCCCGTATTTATTTGAAACATGTGTCACGGAACATATTGCATGTTTAACTGTGTTCAATTTACATGGGACTATTTATGCTCAAGAGGCAGTTTGATATAGCTGTTCACAGTCAAGAATGCTTTTGCATCCTCATTATGTTGGAACAAATCTCTATGAAATAAAGACTGCTACCACCACCACTCTCAACATCAGCACACCAACAGAAGCTCTGGCTGAGTGTGGCTGCCACATCCTGACCTTCCCCGTCGCTAATTACATTAGCCCAGCGTGAGTCATGTCAGACTGGTGGACTTCCTTTTATTGGTTGCTTTAACCCTGACTATAATTACTTCAGTTATTATTTAGCACTTGCTGTAGAATTATTTCATACTTTTTTCTGTTTTCTGCTCTCTGTTAAATTTGCTTTTAAAGCCCCCCCTGTTTATAGAAGGGAAACACATTCTGAAAGGTTTTTTTTGCCATTACTATGCAATGTAGCATTGGTCTAAAGCAAGATGCAGCTTTCAGAGTAGTGCAGTTTGGCTCTTCAAACTAACTTTTGATTGAAGTTAATTCCCTTTATATTGATGTTAGAAACACTTTGGATATTTAATTTTGAAAGTTAGACAATAAGGCAAAGGTAATTGTAATCCTTTTGTAGGGGAGAACAAATCGATTAGAGACAATGAAGTTGCATAAAAGCTGAATACATACAACAGTTAGATGTCTTCAATGGTGGTTTAGGTATTCAGATAAGTTAAAGTATAATAACACAATAGTTTAAGAACTCTGTTACAAAGGATCATGCTTTAAAAATCTTACTTGAAGTAAATAATAGTACCAAATCATGAGTACAAAAAGTAAAAGTACTCTTGTTATTATGCAGGATTTCAGAATAATGTATATTATTATATAGGAGATAGGATTTTATTACATTAAGGTCAAGTTCTAGTTAACTATCATATACATTCAGAAAGCTCAAATGCAATGAAATGCATCTGCCCTGACTCAAAAACAAAACTAATAAAACATACTACAATAATAAATCTGTGAGTGATTTAAAGGGCATGCTGTTCAGAAGTCTAACCGCCTGGAGGTAAAACAGTCCGACCTCTGATGCTCTGTATTTTCCTGAGGAAGGAATGAAAATAATCCACGTAACTTCCTATGAATTATGGAGCCGTGTTTACTGTCCTACTCTTTATAGTCAGGTTACCAAACACCATCATGCTACCAGTAAGATGACTGTATTTTAGCCAGAAATGAACTAGGGTTTATGGGACATTGCAAAGTCATTGCAGAAAGCTTAAACTGCTGAATAAATAATGGTCAAAGGACAAGAGTCTAAGATCTCTTTATGCCTAACAATCTGATGATATGCATGTGATGCGAAATATCTTTGGGGCATTCACTTGAAACAAAAAAGACTTAACAAGAACACTTTCAGCAGGATCATCTAAGTAGACAGTATTTCATTTGTTTTTTCAACATTAAAGGAGCAGTTGTGATGAATAGGTCATTTATGTAAGGCAGCATGCTATCCCAGGAGAGATCACTGTATTATTGTCAATATTATCAAAAACATTTGCTCAGCTGAGCACAAACCTGGTCAACAAATTGGCAATGCCCCGGAAAATTGTGTTTTCATTTCTCAATTGCAAATATATGTCTTTAACTATGTTGGTTCCAGCTCAGTGGAATTCATGAAGCATTTATGTTACGCATAGATAGGGAGATATGCTTTTAATGAATCAGCAAGATCAATAAACTGATGTGCCCGCGCCACCTAATAAGATGGGAATACAGAAAAACGATACAGTTTGTGTTAATTACATCCTACTACTGGATGTCTTAAATTCATACGTCAAAGAAAATAAGAAACCGTTTTGACCATTAAGTCTGTGAGTAAAACTGAAGGGTTTTTATCTTTCCCTTGGTGCAGAATCTTAATTTTTTCTGTTTGATAAATACCGAACATGAATTTCAAACTGTGCACCACATGAAGACTGTGAACTGTTTGATCTGTGTTTAAAGTGATAATAATCTTCCAGACTAACAGCACTATAACTATCAATTAGCCTGCAGCAGGTCAGCGGGTAACAGCAGGTGAATTTCAACATATGTATCCCACACAAACAGTAGGGGGGGTTGGAAATTGAAAGCCTGGTATCCATCAAGTCTCCCTGCATAGCTTACAGGAACCCAGTCACACTGTGATAACCTCGGCTCACGTCAAGACCAAATCCCTTAATCTTGACGTGAGATTTCATCTCCTGAGGCATTTAATCATGACATGATTTCAACATGTGTGCTGTCTCAATGACAGGTCCACTGTGACAAAGGTCACTGTCAGCAGGAAATGACTGTCAAGCCCACCTCTGCCCCCTGCTGGTGGAGAACTCCCCATGCAGTCACATCATGGCAGCAGCTGTAGGCTTCTCTAATGACCTAAAACTGCAGGTACAGGAGAGGAAGTGCTCTCTCACGCCAACACCATCTGGTATGAAGGTACTTGTTTGTGTGCATGAGTCTCAGAAATTAAACTCCCTTAACGAGCTCATTAATTGTTGTCTTGACACCGGAGAATGTTTTAAAAAGTAGAAGACGGTTCATTTAAAAAAAATTGGGAAAAATAAATATATTAAACCAATTTTCAAATATGACTTGTAGGTGTTGCACCATGAGCCAAATGATTTAATAACTACCTGCTAGTAGACTAGGGACAGTCTGTTAAATTAGAATGAAAATGAGGAAAAAGGGAATCAAAAAAGCAAATAAATAACAAAACAACAACCCTATATAGAATAGAATATAATTGGGAGGGATGAAACCCCTCTTTAATGGTCACACATGCAGAGCACACAGCACACACAGTGAAATGTGTTCTCTGCTTTTAACCCATCCTAGTACCAGGAGTTTAGCAATAGGAGCAGTGGGCAGCTATTGTACAGCGCCCGGGGAGCAATGGGGGTTAGGCGGGAAGGGGGTTGTCCGGTGCCTTGCTCAAGGGAACCACGGCAGGGCCCAGGAGGTGAACTGGGACCTCTCCAAGTAGCAGTCCACACTCCATATTTAGGTCTGTTCGGGGACTTGAACCGGCGACCCTACGGCTCACAGTCCAAGCCCTTAGTCCACTTAGGTATGGCCATGTAGTCCACTTAACAATCCAGTCATTTACATTTTTGGACAAGAATATTGCAACCGACCACTGAGGTGAGTTCTATTCAGGTAGTACTACAGAAAGGTTGCAACATTTTTTTAAATAGTGTCGTAGTTGAATGATCATTACATCCTTTAGCACATTTAAAGATCCATTAAAACATCCTTTGAGATGATAACGATGGAGATTTCCAGGGGAAAGTATTCTACGATGCGCTAAAAATGTGTTTACGGTAATACATTCCTTAACTTTAGTGTCGTTCAAATGGCCGAATTGCCAGAAGAGGGCATGGTTCTTTCTAGGCCCCCTAGAACTTAAGTTAGAATGTCAAAAACATAGCACCAAAAATCTCCCAAAAGTTTAGGACAAGCCCAAAAATTGTTTAGAAAGTGTGTTTGAGGAAAACCACAA